AAGGGTTAGGGTTAGGTTTACACCGTTAGGGTTACGTTTAGGGTTAGATTTAGGGTTAGGTTGAGGGTTAGGTTTAGGGTTAGGTTTGGGGGGGTTAGGGTAAGGTTTTCGCTTTATTTTTACATTTTTTGATCACAGCGCGATGTTTTCGTCGCGCTGTGATGACGTCAAATGCGCGCTTTCGTCGACCGCGATTTTGTCATCCGCGGTTTTGTGGTGGAACCGGATTAAACAGGTGACCATAGCCTCAATGTTTTGCTTGACTTGGTGGTGCTCATGCGCCCAGAATCTTGAGGTGGGACTATTCTACCTTCATTCCTCTCTTCAAGAAATGTGGTTTCTTTGCATATGCAAAATCCACTTTTCTTGAGTAAAATGGAAATCCCCCAGTGCTGGGAAATGTAGGGGGGGGGGAGATGGTTTGCTTGTAGCTTTATGGACTGCTTCAAATTGAAGTTTCATTGAAGCAAATCAGGAATTCAGTTTGCCTACATTCAATTCACCTGCATTCAGGACTCTGGTAGCACTATTTGTTTACAGCCAACAAATTTTATGAAAAGGCATAAATTTTCATGGACTGCACTTCATCATATGCACAAGTCTCCTGTTTCAGATGATTCTGGGGAAACCTGTGGTTTATGTCCCTATATTCAAAACACTTATACTTCATATTTTATTCAGAAATATCCCAATGAAGGTACTGGTAAATCGGTCCCCAAATTGATCTCCTGGAGACACATCTATGTTATTTTGTTGGCAGCAATGTGTGAAGAGTTGCCTTCTTCTGGCTTTCAACTTCTCAGCTATGAGATTTTATGCTATAAAACAGTACGTCAAACATATCTATCCTATATTTCACAAATTGATGCAGTTAATATTTTCAAGTTAGCTTTCGTTCCAATCTTTACTTTGTGCTTTGTATGCTAAAATGATGAAGCGCGTCATTCCCATGGATGGTTTTTCCTCTCTGTTCTTTAGGTCACTTTCAATGTGACTTTCAGTTTAAGCCCTTCAGCTTGTGGTGAAGGGAGAAGGAAAGTCCTAATCAAGGCCACTGGTCTTAACGAAGCATTGGAGATCGAGATCCAGCCCAAATGCAGCTGCCGTTGTCAGAAGGAAGCAGAGGTGAATAACTCCAAGTGCAACTACGGGAACGGTTCCTTCGAGTGTGGTGTGTGTGTGTGTAACCCCGGCTACATGGGTCCAGACTGTAAATGTAGCGAAAAAGATGCACTGAGTACAGGGTCCTGCAAAAGTCTCCCAGAACAGATCTTGTGCAGCGGAAGAGGCGACTGCTATTGTGGACAATGCATTTGCCACCTTTCAGCATATGGAAATATATATGGGCCATACTGTGAATGCGATGATTTCTCTTGTGGCAGATTTAGAGGGCTGGTCTGTGGAGGTAAGTCTGTGCTAAATTGTACTTTCCTTCTAACTACCTAATAAAGATACAGTTGTGAAGTTTCAAAAAGATGCCCTAAGTAAATTACGAGCCTTGAGATAAAGTTCAAAAGAAATCCAGTCATTTATTAGGAGCAACATTTTGGCATTTTCTTCTTCTGCGGAGCCAAATCTGATATTCGCTTAATGGCATCTGAACTTTACCTCTGTGTCTCCCCTCCCCTCTGTCTGTGTCATAAATCACATCCACCAACGAGGTGCTGCAGCAGGCTATGAACTTGTGCACCTCACACGCCAGTTGCAGAAATATGAGATCTGACTCTGGCCAAAGGTATGCATGGAATTCTCTTCCCTTTTCTGTGTCAGCTTGAAAATAGTCATGGAAACGCTTTACAAGCTGACATCCGGCTCCCCACACTTCCTGAAAGCGACCTGTGTGAAACAAAAACAATTGGAGTACAAGTATATAATTTAGGGATGTGTCCCTCCCACAAGTATTGAAAGTGTGTATATACCATATTTTTGGAGTATAAGACGCACCTTTCCCCCCCAAAAAACAGAGGGTGAAAATCTGGGTGCATCTTATACACTAAATACAGCATTTTTGGCCTCCCAAAACCCTGCCCTCTTCGCAAAAATGGATGTGGAGAGGGTTTGGGAAGCCTGCAAAGTGCTCCTGGGGGCTGGGGAGGACAAAAACGAATGAAAATGGGCTGCTTTCTGCTCATTTTGGCCCTCCCCAACCCCCAGGAGCACTCTACAAGCCCCCTAAAGGCTATGCATGCACCTTTTGGGGGCAGAAAATAGGCCTGTTTTCGCAAAAAAAATCAGGAGCACTTTTCAGGCCTCTCAAACTCTCTGAATGCCTCTTTTTTTTAAATAAAAAATGAGGCATGCAGAGGGTTTGGAAGGCCTGCAGTGTGCAAAAACTTTTTTTAAAAAATTACCTCTTCAAAATCTTGGTGCGCCTTATACTCCGGTGCGTCTTATACTCTGAAAAATATGGTATGTATATATAGATAGTCCTGAATGAATTGAGCCCGAAATGTTTCTGCTAAATGTGAGTCAGTTGCCAAGGGTCTGAATTTTGATCATATGACCATGGGGATGCTGCAACGGTCATGGGAAAAACAGTCATAAGTCACTTTTTCCAGTGCTGTTGTAAGACAGTCACTAAATGAACTGTTGTAAGTCGAGGACTACCTGCATTATGCAGAACAGAAGCACACAATCTTATGCAATTGTGTACATCATGTATAAATGCATGTGGACATGATTTAATGGATTCTTTCAGAGAACGGGAATTCAGGTTTCTGAAAAACCTGATGATCAGAAAATACATCATTCACACCAATTTATATACATGGCTACACAGTTAACCTAATTTGATGTAAGTGTAACCCAATTTAACATAAATTTAAGTATCTCATCTGGACTCCTCCAGATGCAACAGATTCCCCCCACCCTCATTTGAGGATTTCCATGCACAGATGGAAACTTGGGAAACTTGGGTTCTTCCACCATGAAGTCCACTACATAAAGATTAATTAAATCATTGTGTTAATAGGTGTATGTATTTGTGGAAGGACCACTATGAAATTTCTCATTGAATTTATTTTGAATTATAATACAATTTTTAAAAACTCAAGAAATATACTTCTTTATTTTGCTTTTAAACATGTCTAGTGGACCAGGAGTTCTTGTTTGGTTGTGCATAAGGTGTAGTAGTTGAAGATCTAAACCTTATAATATGCAATATATTTTTCCACTTTTTAAAAAAAATACTTTTTTATTGAACAGTTTTTTCCAATTTTTTAACACAATTATCATCTTTGCAACATTTCCACATCGGTCTACCTCCATTATACCATTTTTATTGATGCATATGCAGTGGTGGGTTGCTAATTTTTTTTTACTACCAGTTCAGGCATGCTCGTACGATGCCCCTGCACTTCTGCGTGCCTCTGAGTGAATCTGCAGTAGTCTCTGCTGGCCCGGAACCTACCACAGTGCCTGCCTACCTTACCTGCCTGCCTGCCTATCATCTAATCCAGGGCTGTCAAACTCTTGGCCACACCCATACCCATTTAAGCAAAGAGGAAAAAAGTCCTGATACGTCTTGTGACACTGCTGGGATGACAAGGGTTTGACATCTCTGATCTAATCTATATATCTATCATCTATATACTGTATCTTCTATCTATCTGTCTATCATCTCTTTCTATTTACCTACTACTGTCTACCTGATGAGATGTCTGTCATGCTTTCTACCAATAGTGGGGTTTGAAACTCAACAGCTGGCTCCCTGCTATGTGATTTTGTGTAGTCTTAACAAAGAACTTTAATATGTTTAATAAAGTTTCTTTCCAATTATATACTATGATGTCTTGACACAACATTCTAGAGAGGATTGCTGGCAATTTTCAAGAATTAGGAAGGAAAGGCAATGATGGAAGCATTTGAAGTGAGTTGCATTCCATATTTTTTTTTTTTTAGGCAATGGGAACTGTGCCTGTGGTCAATGCAATTGCCACCATGGCTGGACAGGTGAATACTGTAACTGTACCACGGATACCAAGAGTTGCATTTCTAACAATGGTGTCATCTGCAGTGGGAGAGGCAAATGTGTGTGTGGAAAATGCGTATGCACAAATCCTGGGGTTTCAGGCAACGTCTGTGAAAAATACCCTACATATGATGATCTTTGCAACTCTAAATGGTAAGCTATTTCTTTGAGTATGGTTAGAAAAGTCTATTTTTTCCACATATCTGAATGTACAATAAGCTTTCAGAGGAACTGAATAGTCTTCAGTGTTTATATTGGTTATTGTATATTGTCTATTCCATTAAATCCTAATATATTTTGTATTCCTTTCATTATTCTATATGCTCTCTTATTTGTATATTTAGTATATTTGTGTTTATTTACATCTTTTTATGCTGAGGTTAATTTTAATTGTTTTCTACACCAGTCAGGGTGATTTGACCCTGAAAGGATACTGTAATCTATAATCTGAGAAATTCCAATAAAGTTGGTTAATAGTAGTGTAAATGTCCAACAATGCATGAATACTGTGTCAGGAAATGAGAAGTGGTGTAAAGCAGGAGGGGGTACAATCTACCTCCCAGTGGTTAAATTCAATTTTTTTTTCTACTGGTTCTGTGGGCATGGCCTGGTGGGCATGGCAGGGGAAGGATACTGCAAAATCTCCATTCTCTCTCCATTCCTGGGGAAGGATACTGCAAAATCCCCATTCCCACCCCACTCTGGGGCCAGTCAGAGGTGGTATTTTCTGGTTTTCCAAACTACTCAAAATGTCTGCTACTGGTTCTCTGGAACCTGTCAGAACTTGCTGAATTTCACCCCTGCTACTTCCACAGGCCCATATATACCTAACAAAACCTTGGTTATAAGGCAAGTAGAGACCTCTCAAATATTGCTACCAAACTGTAATTTTTAATCTTCCACTCTTTGAACTTCGGCTTTGACATGATGCTAATCATGTATAATTCTCAGCCTGAAAAATATGATTGGAGAACAGGGTGTTTTTACTTTTTTCTCATACTGGGATTGGCTTCCCCTCCCTTTGCAGACTTTCTAAAAAGAAACAATGCAATCCAAGAAGACCTGATGCTTGAGGTCAGATTTTCCCTACCTGCTTTTTCCCCAGCAATAGGCAGGTGCCCAGCCACTTAATTCTGAGGACCCTTCAAAGTGTGTTGCGATGACAAATGGCTGCAGAAGAAGTCCAAAGCTTAGACCCAATTAGAAGCCACTACTCTGAGAGACAAGCGGCAGTAAAATAAATGGGGTATGGGCCAATCTGCTGTAGTCTGTGGCCCAAAGCCCCCTTCAGAAAGGCTCATTCAGTGTTACTTTGTCCCAGAGGTCTTTTATGATGAAGACCATGACATCGGCATAGGATATTACAACCTTCCTCTTTAAGCAGCCCTACAGTATTTGCTTTCTTCAGTTACTCTTTAAAAACTTCATTTTATTATTGCTGTGAACTAGGAAAAGGGTTTGTATTTTCATTTTGTTTATGTTAGCAACTTGATTGCTAGTTACATCCATGATTCTAATTGTTATTACTGATTTGTTAGAATAGAATAACAGAGTTGGAAGGGACCTTGGAAATCTTCTAGTCCAACACCCTGCTTAGGCAGGAAACCCTACACCACTTCAGACAAATGGCTATCCAATCTCTTATTAAAAACTTGCAGTGTTGGAGCATTCACAACTTCTGGAGGCAAGTTGTTCTACTGATTAATTGTTCTAACTGTCAGGAAATTTATCCTTAGTTCTAGGTTGCTTCTCTCCTTGATTAGTTTCCACCCATTGCTTCTTGTTCTGCCCTCAGGTGCTTTGGAGAATAGCTTGACTCCCTCTTCTTTATGGCAACCCCTGAGATATTAGAACATTGCTATCATGTCTCCCCTAGTCCTTCTTTTCATTAAACTAGACATACCGTGTTCCTGCAACCGTTCTTCAGATGTTTCTCTTTATCTTTTTCCTCAAGGAAGTGCGAGGAACTGAACTAGGTCCTCCTTGAATCATTATTAGCTTTTTTATTCTCTGTGTACATTTTCAGGAAAGTTTGCGCTGTATTGTAGTGTATTTCCACTTTGCCAAAATCAGAATAATAATAAATCAGACTGGATTTATTAAACCTATCTGAACTTTACGTTCCCCATCTACAACCAAGCTGTCCCCCCCCACCCCCAAACATCCGGAAGCACTGGGAGCATTTCCTGATACAATTTCAGATATTTATTTCTGTTCAAGCTGAGAGGAAGTTGCCCGGCAGCTGTTTTATAAATAAATGCAGTTTGTTAAATCAAAGCCACAGACGAATTCCAATTTTTACATCTTAACCATATTGCTAAGCACCGGCCAATGCTACTACTATACAATGTCGTATCTTGATTTGCAAAACAATAGCAATGGCAGACATCAGGATGATTTCCAGGCAAGGCACAATCAGCCAGGACTGTGAGGCACATTTGCTAGTTCAGCTGCTGATAGTTTATTTATTTATATATCACATTTAGAAACCTCCCATCTCCCTCACAGAGTGTCTCTGGGTGGTATACATGTGAAACATGGTGTGGAAGTGAGAGGATTGGGCTGCCCTCCTTGACCTCCAGCTGATATTACTGTTAGTCATAGCTGGGACTGGCTGTGGGAGAATAACTCTGGCCCACTTTCTGTTCTTTTTCTTATTTATTTTTTCAACCAGACAGCTCAGGCTTGGCTCCAACCCCAGTTTGCTCATTAATTAAACTTTCTGACCAGCCTGTATGGGTGTTGGATCAATTCAGGGATTTTGATTACTGCTCAAATAATTCAGTTGATTTATATATCTAAAAATCATGTAGTGTACCAATCCATTAAAAAAATACATCAATTTTAACTTCTAAGACAGTGATGGTTAACCTTTTTGGTACTGCATGTCCAAAGTGTGCGTGCGCACAAATGCATGTGTGCATGCCCCATCCCCAAATGCAGTGTGAATGCCTCCCCTGCATGTGCCTCGCCTCCCATACATGCGTGCATGTTCCCTGCACATGCGCTCTCCGCACATGCGCCATACCCCCCCCCAGTCCTCATTTTGGCTTCCAGGTTGGTGCAGGAGGTGTTGCGGGGGGGTCGTGATCTCCGCAGTTTTTCCCCAGTGCGCCCAGGCTTTCTCCTCCATTTCTGCCACAGAGAGGCACCTGTGGAGGATGGAACCTGTGGAGATTGGGGAAGGCACAGGCAGCAGGAATGCAGGAGAAAGCTAGGGCACACTGGGGTGGAACTGAGAAGATCGATGGAGACCCTCCCCTGCGCATGCATGACTGAGACCCAAAGACCATCTAGCTGATGGGAGGCGGCACGCACGTATGTGCAATGGTGCTGGCCAGGGGCGATGACTGGTGTGGTCTCAGAGAGGGCTCTGCATGCCATAGGTTCACCATCACAGTTCTAAGATATCAAGCTTCCTGTTTACTCTGCACCAAAGCCAAATGTGCTATGGTTATTGGAGCGTTTTTGTGTCACATTCTCATGACATTGTCCTCTTCTCATCCCCAGATCATACTGGAGAAGGTTAAATCATTTTAAGCTGTTCCGTTTTTAAAATAGTCTTTCCCCTCTTCTACTGAATCTAAAAACAGTCTGGCATGCTTCCTTGGCCAATAACTTACTGACACAGCCATGACTAAGTTTTGGTATATAATTTTCTATTAAAGATTTAGACTTCAGTATTAAAAGCTAATACAAACTAAATTAAAGAAAAAACCAATAGTAAGAGAGAAGGAAAAGTGGAAGAAAAATATGATAAAAAGAAAAGAAATATATAAAAAAGTGATTTAATTACAAGTATGGGTAAATTCAGTAACTTCATTCTCTGAAAGATTACTAATAAGTATTTCTTCATCCCATAGCCCATCGCTTATCTATAAAATAAATCCATAAAACATCAACTTTTGAATCCTGGTATCAGCAAAATGTCTGTAAAGAATTGACAAAACTTTGCAAACAGAGAAAGCCTTATTTTATCCTTTTCAAATAAACCAACTTTATATTCTTTCCTTTTACTTTTAACCGACGTCATCATTAGTTCATTCAAATACTGTGGTAGGATTTTATTTCTTTTCAATTCTTCTTTATCCCATCACACAGACTTCTTCAAGGATTTAATAAGCCTCTTTCTAGATCCAATAAGAAAACATTTTCCAGGTCACCGTCCTTGTTTATCATTTGGATTCTTGCTTTCATTTTCAAAACTTCAGCCAATTTGTTTTGTATATCCAATAAAACATTATTTTCCAAATTGTTTTCTTGGCCTGTTATTTACAAGTCCACCTTCCGTACTTTCTCCATCTTGTCAAACAAAATTAACTCTACGTCTGTCACTCCTTCATTACCATCTTTTGGATATAATTTATCCATACAATCAGGTATCATTATTGACACTTTTGACACTGTGGTTACTAAATTGTGGCTCCTTCTTCAACAATCTCCTTTGACATTTTCAATGTTATGACGGTTCATATCATTTGGTAAATCCAAGCTAATCAACGCAAAGGAGGACTTGCATTTTTCTTCTTCTCTTAGAATCTCTACTCCCCTCCAGTGTCCAGTTTCTACAACCATAAAACTAGCTTGTCATTGTAATGAGCAAAGATAACTAAAATAATTCTGGCTCCTGTTAAAAGCTATTTTTAAAAAAAAATCTGGTGAACATCCAAAGAGAGATGCCACCAGAATTATTTTTTCCTTTCCTTTTCTGTGTGGTATATTCTAAATGCTGAGAATTATTTATTCATTACTGCAGGTCTTTCATAAGGTGCTTAAAAATGGCGACTGTGTATGTATTCTCTTTTGATTCTTAATGCAAAAGGAGATTGATAAATCATTGCACCATCTTTCTCAGGAGCTGTGTAGAATGTTATTTAGCTTCTGCTGATCTACTGCATCAGGAAGACTGCGCTGAAAAATGTAAATTGGTTGACGCAATGATCAGTCATGATGAAGGTCTGTACTTTAATTTATTGCTTGGCTATTATTAGTGGTAGCAATCAGTTTACTAGTTCTTGCTGCTTGCATGAGATAGGTGAGTGTGTGTGTGTGTGTGTGTGTGTGTCTGTAGTGTGCACATAGGATATGTGTGTTTAAATGCATATTTTCAATTGTCCCTCGTGGAACATTTTTCAATAGCATTAAGCTAAAGCTACTCAGGCTCAGGGCTCCGATGTTGCATTTGCTTGTCTGTTGTTGTTCTTCTGTGATTTATTTGCAATTTATCACAATGGAAGTGAAGATGTAATGGCTACAATGCTGCCTACTCTCTTCAGTCTACATAGAAAAGATCACAAGACTGACAACTGAGGTTTTTTTAAAAAAATTAATTATGTTGATAAGCTAAGATAGTGTCCTTCACATCTGACACAAAAGTGTAGGCATAGATATCCAAGGATCGACTGCATATTAAGTACAGTTGAATAGTTGAAAAGATAAGAGTCAGTAACTGTGTTCAGTATACATTTGCATGAAGTAGTTGCCGTACTCTTCCTAAGAATCAGTCTTGTCCTGTTTTCTTCCCCTATCTCTGTGCTATGAGCATCCTTGACTGTGAAGCAGTATTATTACTAAAGGGAGAAGTACACAGAAAACTCACTTCAACATGAAAGATGGGAAAGTAGCTATTACATCTACTCTTACTTGCTCTTCCTCCCTTCTCAATCTGTCTTTACTGACAGATTTTATTTCTACTTTCAAACATTAAATATTTCCTCTCAATGTGCCAGATTGACCAGAAATTCAGCTGGGTATTAGTGAGAAAGAAAAAAGGAACACAACAAATTTTCATTATTTGTTCTTTTGCTGAGATTTTAATGTATTTCCAAATATCCTAAACAGTTGAAACTCTCCCACAAAGGGAAAGTCAAAATCAGTACTGCAAATATGAGAAGAAGAAAATAAATGATACAAATTAAAAGAGGCACAGAATGAAATCAGAATACAGGACAACAGCAATTTGAAAGAATTTACACAGCAATGCTTGTTTGTTTAAAAGAATTTAGAGGAGTAAAGGAATCTGCATTTGATGCCCCCCCAAACTCAATACCAAGCCAATGTCTCAGGGCTACCTATCCCATTGGCTCTAGAAAAAGTGCAGAGAAGATCAACCGGGATGATTAGGGGCAGTGGTGGGTTACTAACCAGTTTACTACCGGTTTGCCTGTGCTTGCGCCCATGAACATGGGCACTGCTTCTGCGCAGAAGCATCCGGGTGGGTGGGCAGAGCCTCCCGTCACTGCTACTACTGGTTTGGCTGAACCAGGCTGAACTGGGAGCAACTCACCTCTGATTAGGGGACTGGAGACTGAAAGATATGAAGAACGATTACAGGAACAGGGCATGGCTAGTCTAGTGAAGAGAAGGACCAGAGGAGACATGATAGCAATGTTCCAATATTTGAGGGGCTGCCACAAAGAGGAGGCAGTCAAACTATATTCCAAGGCACCCGAAGGCCAGAGAAGGAATAATGGATGGAAACTGAACAAGTAGAGATTCAATCTAGAAATAAGGAGGAACTTTCTGACAGTGAGAACAATCAACCAATGGAACAGAAGTTGCCTTCAGATGTTGAGGGTGCTTCATTGCTGGAAGCTTTCAAGAAGATATTTAACTGCCATTTGTCAGAAATGATGTAGGGTCTCTTGCTTGGGCAAGGGGGAGTTGGACTATGTGACCTACAAGGTCCCTTCCAACTCTGTTAATCTGTTAAAGGGCACCTAAAGGTTGTCTCAGAAGTTATTGTTGGCATCAGTGTTACATTTCTAGCAAGAGATTCCCAGATAGGAACGCATAGGAGATAAACCAGGGAGGGAAATTGACTAGCGAGCTATTGTTACACAAGGGGAAATATGAGAAGAGGATATAGATTTTTAATTCATGGAAGATGTAAATACAGGAATTAGCCTTAATAATCTGAGCCTGCCAGTTGCTTTCACTTTCTGGTGTAATAAAACAGATCCAATCCAATCATGTTGTGCTGAGTTTCTGGGAAGCCGTAGCTAAGTCAGCCTCCCCTCTGGGAAGATGGACATTGAAGCCTTATATAGGAAGACGTAAGCCACCCTATTTATCTGACCACACAGATTGAAAGATCTTCTCGGTTCCAATCCACGACAGATCCTTTTTTATAAAAAATGTAGTCTAGTCTGGTGCCAGCAGCCATAGCAGCCAGCCGTTCAGTAAATCTTAATCCAAACACACTGAACTGCTTTAATATCCGGAGGCTACTGTGTTTTATAGTGTACAAAAAGTTTCCAGTGATGTGTTCCACTATCGCTTAAGATTTAAGCTATCTACTGACAGCCTCCTTAAAAATAATGCTCCGTGATACCTGAAATAGTTGTATATAAAAAGATGTTTTACAATCTACATCTTTGTTATATTGTATACTAGCCGATAACCCTCTGTTGCCTGGATATTTATTTATGTATAGAGAGAAAATGTCCAGACCAAATGTAATTTCTAATGTTGGATTTTCCCTCTTACCAGAGGGAGCCCCCTTGTGGAGTACTGTGAAGCCGTTACAATGGCAACTCCAATGCGCTGTACAGCAGAATCCATTTTAAGGCACAACAGGCTGTATCTTAACAGAACACACACCGAGAGGGATGTTAGGGGTGTCTTACTCCCACAGTATTTGTTTCCAGAGAGTAAGTCATCTGTGTATTAAGTTTGATCGAAATTGCTCAAGGCGTTTGAGAGTTATGCTGGAGCATACACACACACACATATAAATGCATCATATGCTGGCCACGGCCATGCCCAGTTTAGCGAAGGGGGGGGGGAAATCCCGATACTTCATATGACCCTGCCATGACGACGTGAGTTTGACACCCTTGGTATATAATATAATACCTCCAAATTAGATGTTTGTTCACTCTCTTGAGATCAATTATTTCCTATCCACTTTTTCAGAAACATATCCTGCTGGTTTTAAACTTTGAGAAAATGTCTGTATGGTTGATAACTTTGGTGAAAACTGATTCTGAAAAAATATATAATGTAGGTAGGCAATGGGAACAATGTCATATATTACAAAAATACAGATAAGCTATGGTGCAACATGAAACTTACAAATCACTTTGTTTAGAATGGCTCCCCTTGGAATCCCTTTTCTAACATGGCTATAGATTTCACAGAAACTTTGTTATTATTATTTTGAGTTATATTGATGGGACATGAGAAGTTTCTGGTAGTATTGGCCTAGGGGTCTACATTTTCAGATTCCATTCTTATTTATGTTGTCTGCGCCCTCATGCATATTTCACCTTTTTTAAGTCGCTTGAATAAACATCAAAAGGACTGTGTCTGAGGAAATTTAGGTGAAATCATTGATTACCAAACTGGGAATATCTTACATTTCTTTTATCTGTGTTACTTGAAGTGCATTCCTTATTCGTATCATGATTTCTTTTTAGTTAATAGGCATGTGTACATGATGCTTTTTTTTTTTTAATAGCAGCATTCTGTCAGCAATAAATGGCATTCCTCTTGAAAAGGTTTAATATTTTTGTAAGGGAATATCCTGTACTCTGAAACATCATCTAGCTATTCTACTAGTAGCAAAAAGATAAAGAGGATATGTTTAATCTAATGAAGATTACATGTAGTCCTCGACTTATGACCACAATTGAGCCCAAAATTTCTGTCACTAAGTGAGACATGGGGAGGTTGCAGTGTGAAAAATGGTCATGTCACTTTCTTTCAGTGGTGTTGTAGCGTCAAACGGTCACTAAATGAACTACTGTAAGTCAAGGAATACCTGTATTATAATATTCCCGTGATAGCTTTTGCAGCTCCCTTAGAAGCATTTCCAATTTTATAAATTTCCCTTACTTGACCAACTTGATGGTCAACACAGATTGGCAACACCTGGACCTTCTCATCTGATCACTGCAAAGAGTAACCAAAAAAAAAAAAGGAAGCTGTCCCCTCTAATAGTAGAACAATTATTTGCAAATCCATTTTAGTATATTTCCAGCTTTGTTTCTTAGTGCCTGTTAAAAATATACTGATATTAGAACTTTGTAATAACTGCCTGATATGTTTCTCTCTGAACGATAAAATGGGTTTTTCCTCATCCTCAGATATTACAGAAGATAAATGGGTTCGTTGTGTGTTACAAGGGAAAAATGAATCTGTTATCACATTTCTGATGACAACTAATGAACAGGGGAAAGTCATCATTCATAACATAAAGCAAAAAGGTAAGAGACATTTAGTCTTGGTAAGCTAAGGAATGTCGGTCTACATGAACCCTCTCAACATATATCCCAGGAGTGTGAAACTCAAGGCCCGGGGGCCGGATGCAGCCCATGGGGTACTTAGATCTGGCCCACGGGACCACTCTGGAAACAAGGACCAGCCTGTAGTGCTTCTGCCAGTGAAAATGGAGCTCCGTTTTCACAGACAGAGGGTTACAGGAGGCCATGGCGGCTGAAAACACAGCTCGGGAACCAGTTTTCACTGGCAGAGCACTCGGGCTACCACAGGCACCCTGACATAAGTGGTGTCGAGCTGGCCACGCCCACCCTAGCCGCACACACACACACCACACCCCTGAGGTCAAACACAACCCTCATGTGGCCCTCAATGAAATTGAGTTTGACACCCCTGATCTATCCATTTCTGGAAAGGGCTGTCTGGAAGGGATCTACGACAAAACACCGTGGCCAACACTCCACAGCCAACTCGATATGACAAATTCCCCGCGGCCAACTCACTGCAGCCAACTTGCTGCAGGACAACTTGCCATGGGAGTTATAAGAGTTATACTAATATTGAAGAATTGGGAATAGAGTCATTAAAGAAAGGATGCCAAAGGAGGGACAAAATGAAACGTGAATGACAAAAATTAAAATCAAATTTTAATTATTGTACATAAGTAAATTGGTTGAATTGTGCTGCAGCATGTTCTCCTGTGGAGAGTTGGCCATGGTAAGTTGTCTATGGCTGCAGCGAGACAGTGGTTAAGTGAATTTTGGCCCTTTTATGATCTTTCTTGCCACGGTTGTTAAGTGAATCACAACAGTTGCTAACACAACTGACTCACGTGACCCCAGAAAATTGCAACGGTTACAAATATGAGCCAGTTTCCAAGCATCTGAATTTTGATCACATGACCATGGAGATGTTGTACCATTGACAAGTGTGAAAAGAGGTCATAAATAAGTCACTTTTTTCAGCACTGTTGTAACTTCAATCAATCATTAAATGAAAGGTTGTAAGTTGAGGACTATCCGCATGCCTTTCCTGGAAGTTTTTCTACAGAATATTAAGTCTTATGTCCCAAGGTTTCTTTTAATACTGTTAAAAGAATTTGGGTGCATAAAGTTCAAGAGTAATGAGCAAATTCCTTTTACAGTATCTTTCTGCTTATGGCTCCCAGATTCTAAGCCAAAATATTTTAATAAAATGAAATGTAACAGGCAGCTTCCCTCCTAAAGTAGGCCTTTTCGTGTGGCTATTCATAAATATGGCAAGGAACACGCTAGCCAATGTTAAGGTATTTTTTGTTCAATCTTTCATTTGTTTTAGATCTCCCAAAGACTGACACACTTAGTTTTTATGCGTGAGTGGTTTACATATAGCTCATCTCTACCTACATGTATGAGGCAGCTATCATACATGCCAATGCTGTGGGTGTACAAAAGAACACATTGGGGTTGGAGCCATATTTAAACAAAACCTATACAAAACTGAAAAGTTCACAGCAACTTTCCAAATTTTGTTTTCCAACATTTCCAGGATTCTGATATTTATAGATGAAAGTAACATTGACCTACGGTACAGGTTTCTTCCTTTTTTCCCATATTTAAAGCTATTTATTTATTTTCACTACTGTCGCTCTTTTTCCCTACAGATTATCCACAGCCGCCAAATATTACAATGATTATGTTGGGGGTTTCTACGGCAGTAGTCGTCACTGGGATTGTTTTACTTTCCATGTGGAAATTATTTATTTCATTTGAAGACCGTAAAGAAGTCGCTAAATTCGAAGCAGAGAGATCGAAGGCCAAGTGGCAAACGGTACGTTAAAAAAAAACAGGATTCAGGAGAACATTATTGTAAATAGTAGCAAGATAAAAATTGCTACTGTAACCATAGTAGAGCCACTTTGGTGTAGTGGTAAAAGCTAGCCTAGGAGACTGTGTGTCATAGCCCCATTTAGGCATAAAGCTGGCTAGATGACTGTCCCTCAGCCCAACTTACCTCACAGTAATCCTACCCTTAAGACCAACGCTAACCTGAACGCTAACCCTAACACTAACCCCAATTCTAACCCTAATGCCAACCCTATCCCTAAAGCCAATGCTAACGCTAACAGTAACCCTACCTATAGTAGTCTGTTCTGACACCCCTCTGTACGCCGAGGCACTCCGAGACAAGATTACTGCTCGACAATTTATTCACAGTAAATTAACACACTGACAAGACTTTGGCAGCAATCCAGACTTCCAAGATAAGAAATACACA